TTATTTTACAGTAAAATATATGTTTTTATTAAATAAAGTCTAATGTTATAACTAATCATGGATCCCTTTAAATGAAAATTATTTATTTAACCCCCTAGAATGTTTAATTCCCAGACATTTAATTGTTTCAAATCAAATTAAACAAAGAAAAAAACGTTGCCTTGAAGGTGAATAAGTAATTAAATAAATAAAGCAGGTAATGGCAGGTACAGGAAGCAGCAGCGTTGAGAATCACTGCTCTAACTAACGATCCTGTCTACTTTTATTTTTATATATCAGAACCGGTGGTGCAGTTTAACACCTGGGTGAGCTGTGATTCCTCCAGTCCGCCGCTGCCGGCCCGTCGCAGCCCGAAGCTCACAGGCGAGCACGTTTACCTGGAGGACGTGCAGACCGACGAGGACAAACTCAACAGCAGTTTGCTGTCCTCAGAGTCCACCTTCCTCCCGTTCGCCTCTGATTTTGAGCCACAAGCGCTCCACTCGGACAGCGAAGACGAGACCGAGACGTTTGAACCCGATTCTCTGGCTCCGACGCGTCCATCAGAACACAAAAGGCACGGCAGAAATAAACTGAATAACCCAACAGATAAAGAAGAGAGGGAGACTCCTAAAGAGGAGGTTGTTTCTGCTGCCAGCACAGCAGCTGGGTCAGGGGTCAAAGTTTGCACGCCACAAAACGTGTCAAATGTGTCCTGTGACTTTGGTAAAGCAGCTGTGAAAGAAGCTCCTCCGCAGGAACAAGTGGGCCTCGGTGTCAGAGAGTTGGGCTCGATGGAAGCAGAGAAGGCAGCTGTTAAAATCCAGTCCRGCTGGAGGGCACACCGCACTCGATGTTTTCACCCTGCAGCCAGAGAGGCACGCGGGGAAATCCGTCTGCGCAGGATGCAAGAACACGTCCTGTTTCTGTCCGACAAACTGGACACGTAAGTGACTTCTTTCCTTTTTTAAATCTAGGTTGGACTATTAACGTGCAGCTGAATCACGTTGTAAAGGTAAAGCTGGTGTGTTTGCAGTGTGCAGAAGCAGTACGAGGAGGAGAGGTTGCAAAGGCTGGTGCAGGAGGAGGCTGTGAAGTTTCTATGGAAAGAGGTTAATTATTACAAACATGTCATTTATGATTGATTAACACTCGTTCAAAACCACTGTTTTCAGTTAATAGTTAGGTAGAAGATATACTGTTATTTTTTGTTTTGTTTTTTGTTTTTTTTATCAAAAATAAAATAAAATAAAAAAATAATAAAAAAATAAAATTAAAAAAATAATTTAAAAAGTAATAAAAAGGGTAGAAGATATTCTGCATTAATGATTCAGTTTAGACTGTACAAAGAACTGTGTAAAAACTGTTATGTACATTTTTTGTTGGATGTTTACGTGTAGTATGATTTTCCTAAATGTCACTCATGTTCTTCAACCAGCTTCAGTCCATGCAGCAGTGGAAGCAGTCTGTAGAGCAGAGGTTGGCAGCGGTTAATCAAGACGTCAGCCCGGCTCAGATCTCCTCTCCTGCCCTGTGTCCGGCGTCCCCGCCTGTCGTCGCCACAAATTCGCCAAACACCGGCGTCTCCTTCCCAGACTCTGGCTTTGAGACGACCAGCGATCACCAGGCGGCTCAGGAGGACAGCTTCCACAGCAGCAGGACGGCGGACTCTCTAAAGACGGTGCGAGAGCTGAGCCCCACCGGGAACGGAGTCGCCGCTGGGAGCGATGCTGCGGACAGCGCCGACTGCAGCCTGCTGGAGGAGTACCTGTCCTCTGTGCAGCAGAGGGAGGAGGAAGCAGAGGAAGAAATCAGTGATCGAACAGAAACGCCACGGCTCTCTGCACCAGCCTCACCCAACAGGACCAACACCTCCCCACCAACGCAGAAGGAAACAGAAACAACTCCTGACTCTGTTTGACCGCCCTCACATAACGAACAATTCCCCCAAACTACAGTGAATGTAATGCAAGTTGTTTTTAATACCTGTTATGCTATTTATATTTACTTTTCGATAAAGAATTGATTGAATGTAGTGTTGTAAAAACTGTTATTTGCTAAAAACCAACTTGTTTATATATACATCAAAAACATGGTAAATTATATTAAAACTGATGTAAACACACGCTTTACTGCAGATATAAAGTGTTAGTGTCTGTTACCAACATATGTCTATCAGCTGTGTTCTAATCAAGATTGTTAGATGTTTAACAGTAACACTATCTTATAAACAGTCTAAATAAACATTTAGTCATACATTTCTAAATGTGAGCTTTTATTTTGTATTTAATTTTCTGCAGCAGATTTGTCAGGAGGTAGTTCAGGTGGGGTGGGCTCCCTATGTAAACATTTTATGTACAGAAATTAGTACATATAGGTATACTTTCTCCAAATACACCAGATAAATTTTATATACAGGTGCTGGTCATAAAATTAGAATATCATGAAAAAGTAGATTTATTTCAGTAATTCCATTTAAAAAGTG